TTTATACCTGATTGTAACCTGATGCTTATAAATTTTTGCACGTATGTACCTAATTGTGACCTAATTTTGACCTAATTACTTATAAATTTTAATAATCACTGTGTTTCAACTGGAGATTTTCGCCCATATGATATTCTAATGTCTGCAGCTCTAGTAACAACCGAGTGAATTTTATGTTATATAAATTTAAAAAAAAGTCAGCCGGATCTGTTTTAATATTTTCACGTTGTGAAAACTAATAATAACTTTTTATGGCTTTACGCAACCAACACTCAAGATTTACAACTATAGAATATCAAGATCAATAGCAACATACTTTACGAGAAATTATGCGTCCCTACCATAGACCTCTAAGATCATGAAAATGCGCGATGACCATATACTTCGCATTTATTATCATTAACTATTTAAATATGCGTCGGCAAAGTTTTAATTTTAAAATGCCTTTGCACGATATTGATTTTTGATAATATCTTAGCAATTTAATCTGGCAACGCATTTATTGCATATTAGTTAGTATATTTATGATAAACTTCCATAGTTTTGGTTCCATGTTTGATATAATTCCAAGTCGCGATCGCTAACACTTGCACGAACTATAATTTATAATTAATTTATCAACTGATTGCGATTTTACATTCCATTCCAAAAATTTATACGTACCTTGCGTCAACGCGTTTAAAAAGTCTTGGTAATTTATTGGTCGGACGTCATCCGCTATTTAAATGAGTTAAAGTTAGAATATAAATATTTTTTTAATTCTCATTGTAATATCGAATTTAGATTATAAAGATTGAACCTGAAATATTTCTTATATCTTCGATTACGCGTATTGGCCCCAATGCAGCTTCTGAAAAATTCGGCAACATTTAATTACCGCAATTATGCAATAATATTAATTTTATTTGAGTAACCTTTTACCTCTACATAATCCATCCATATCTGACCCAGAGTAACCTATCATAATTTGGTAATTAGATTACATACCGATACGTGATTACAAAGTAATATGAACTAAAAATATAAAATACCTGCAGTTTTCTCGCAAATGTCATAAATTTCTTGTTCTGTCAATGAGTGTTTTTGTTTCTGTAATAAATTTTTTATAATGCCATGTCTTCCATCTAATTCTGGTAAAGGAATATAGAGCCTTTTACGAAACCGGCGTCCTTTTAGTAAAAAAATAAATAATAAAAATGTTATTTCAAAAGAACGTGATATAACGTTAAAAAATCATAATGGACAATTTACGCGCAGCTTCATCGATTTCTTGTGGCCTTAATAATAATTATTTTACAGTGCGAAAATGTGAATATAGATTGAGAAATATAATAAAAATAAATATCAATGTGTTTGACCTGTTGGTTGCACCAACAATAAGAATCCGATCCTCTTCTAACTCAGCGGTTTTTACACCATCCTAAATTTCTTAATCAGTACAATGAATTGTTTATATATTTTCTAATGAAAACCAAAGAAAATCCTCACAAATTGAACCAAAAACTCAGTTTTGATGCGTCTCGAAGATTCAAATTCGCCATCAGTTCTTTGAGTTAATAAAGAATCGATCTAATTTCGAAAAGTATAAATCGGTAATACGAATTTAATATGAAATTAACAAAGAATTTCGCTTACCTCGTCTACGAATACTACAGCGGGTTGATTCACCCTTGCAACAGCGAATAAAGCGCGAACCTAACGAAAAATCTCCATTGTTATTTTATCAAATACAATTGGATAATTGAATAATATTTAATATAAATATATTACCATTTTTTCACCATCACCAACCCATTTCGAAGTTAAGGATGAAGAACTGGAAAATTATTGTCGGAAATTTTTTTCATTTATTTCGGATAAAAATCGCAAATAGCATTTTTTTTTTGCTACCTTATACTGAAAAATGTTGCTCCTGATTGACTTTAATACAACAACATAACGTTAACGGTTGACTAATGCATTTATACTTTTCCACAACCATTGTTATATTACCTGGCTATGCATTTGCCAATGAGAGTCTTGCCTATTGCGTGTCCATGTTATACCGTAATTTACAGAAAGTTCAGTTTTTATTTCGTGCTACAGATAAAATTTATAAATTTACCGGTTCCTGGAGGTCCAAAAAGCAATAGTCCTATACATATTTTTTAATCAATCTTAAGTCTTATATTTAAAAGAAATCAGAAGCGAGCAACATGATAAACCTTTAGGAGGGCCTCTTAACCCTGTAAAAATATCGCTAGTAAAAAAAAGTTATCTAGTGTTATCTAGTCATCGTTTTTCTAAAAGCATCAGACCAATGTTTGTCTAAATATACTGACGGCCTTAACATAGGCCATGTGACGGCCTCTTGAATGGTTTTTTTCGCATGTTCTAATCCAGCGATATCTTCCCAGGAAATGTTGGGAGTCCGATCCATAATCTATCGAGACAAAAAGTTAAAATAAATTTTTGCACCTAAATAGCAAATGTTTAAAATCTAGGACCTCATTTTGGATCATTTCGATCATTTTTGGGTCAATATTTTTTAATCTACTGTCAATTTCTTGCTCTTTCTCAGTATCACAACATTGTTTTCTATCATTTTTATCTCTTTTAAACCCGAAAGATGAACTATATTTTATAATGCAAGCAAATCGTGAATAAACAAAAATATACAAGTCATTTAAATAGTTAATACCAATATTTGCAAAAAAATCATAACGTACGAATAATCGTTTTTGTGCATTTTCGTTCCACCACCAAGGCTTTCATTTCGTTTCAATAAAGGAGATATGAACCTTCCTTTTTTAGTGTTCTGGCTTGATGCTCCTACGGCCCTTTTTTTATGAGTCCCTGGTATGTGAGGTTTGTCAACAAAGTCATTAAAATTATTATACAGTGGACCTTGATTATAAGGTGGAGAAAAACGGCCTTTCTTCTGATTTTCAATCACCTATGTAATTTATCAAAATTATATATAGGTATATATATGAATATAAAATTTAATACTGTATAATTTATCATAACATTATTGTACCATCTGTTGTTTTGCAGTAATGAAAGAACCACGCTGAATCGTAGAATGATCATGTTGGTCTTTGTCGTCATTTTCATAATTTACATTCATTGGAATAGTGTCATTTTTTTTCATTTTATAATTTTCTAAATACTGCGGACCCTGGACGAAAAGAAAACATGTTGAGTTTATCAAAGTATTATCGTTACGCGCGATTGTACTATATAACGTTAATATTAAAGAAGATATATACTCTTATGGTATGTAGTTCATTGGGAAATCTCTCGTTATATATATTTAAAGAATCATTATCAACATCCATCATATCTCTGTTAGATTCATCTGATAGTGCAGGATTTGATGCCTGTAGATTCCCCGAATGATTGGTCATATCGCGTTTTGGAGGAATCTTGGCAGTGTCTGCACCAACTTTATCATCTTTAAACGATGATGATGCGCTTGCATCTTGTACAGCACAATCGTTTATATAATCAACCAAGAAACTTAAATCAGGTGGTTCCATAAAGTCATAATCATCTTCAACAACACATTGCTACAAAATATATCAAAAAAAAAAAAAAAACGCGACAGACAGTCTTATAGATTCTTAAAATAACACAACTCTATTTTTTTTTAAAAAAAAAATTATTACCATATTAACAAAATGTTCCATCTTTAGTTCTGATTTGAACTCTTTAATATTACTTATGCTCTTTACTCCTTTCTTTTGCGCTTTCTTTAAGAGTTTTTTATTTACTTCATCCTCAATTATTTCAGTTAAATTTACCATATTGCTTTCATTTTCTTTACTTCCAACCCAACATTGATCATATTTATCCCATACTTTATCCATTAAATGCTCTGCTTCGTGACGTGACACGAAATCAGAATGAGCATTGCTTAAAACCATAAGGGCTTTACGAAAATTCGTGGCAGCATTACGAATATTACCATGAGAAGTTTTTTGATTCTCTTGCGAATTAAGAGTCTTACAAGCTGACAAAAAATAATTTTCACCAGCGAAATAGAATTTTTCAAAGAAGTGATGATTTAATCGATCTTTTTGTTCTTTATTCATAATATTTAAAATATTTGGAATTTAAAAACAAGTAACTGTGCTTATCCGGCAGGTACTATGTAAACACTGACGGAAAAAATTCTACATTATTTCCGCAAATTTTTATTAAAATCATGTG